GAAGAAGACAAAAGGCAGACGGCATTAACTTGCTCGCTTATCTCCCTCAGCCCGGCAGCTTAGGCCGCCCTCATGTGTTGCTAACACAAACCCTCTGAAACTCACGCACACGCATTTGCACATATACACAAAGTCGACCTCCTTGTGTGCTATCAGGCTGGCCCTGAAATGAACCTGTCCTTCACTGCTATCTCGTCCTCTCATGCTGAACTCGTTCACGGCGGCGATTTTTTTTCTTTTTTTTTTTTCTCTTCCCCCCATTGTTGGCACATAGTCGCCGCGCTCGCGTTGCTTTACTGTTTTGTCTGCGTGGCGGGCCTTCATTTCATTGTATGACATCATTTTCACTCTGAATGTAAGCCTCGAAGGACATGTTGGAAGAATGTTCAGTTCAAGTGTTTTGGAAGGTTGACCTCCGCCAAGGTCGAACAAGCCTAATTTGGACATGCGCATTAATTATGAAGTGTAGTGCGATTAAAAAGGATGTCACGATGGGAAGTAAAATAAAAATAGATAGACTTGATATGGTTTTGGATGAGCACCGTTGTCCGGATCTGCACCGAAACCGAACCGATCAATCAAGAAATATACTCTATTTATAATATGAAGGCTTTTTAATTATTGAGTGAAATTAATGCGAACATAATTTAACGAATTTGACATATTTTGATTTTCTTATTATGTATTTATATTTGTTGTAGTGATGCATAGTAACAAATACATTTTTTTTAGAAAAATGAATTCGTTTTTGGGGCATTATTTTGCAACTAAACATAAATTCCTATGGAATTTCTCTTCGGATTAAAAGCATCTGTATTATGTCCATTGTTATTTTACAATGTAAATTTTTTTTTCTAAATATTTTGTTAATTTTCCTGAAAAATCATCAATATTTTTAGAAAGCGCCAAAAGGAAAAAAGTTGACAGTCCCCGTGTTAAGTTAATGCGTTTCTAGTGAACCCAAAAAACAAACAAACAAACAAAAAAACCTTCTAAAAGTCATCAACAATTAAGTGAGTCAGCCGTCGCAAATTTGAACAATGACGCCAACGTATTATAATCAGTTTCGCTGGTGCCACTGAAAGCAGTTGAACAGCCTCTAATTTCTCTCCACCAAAGTGCCTTGCTTTGGATGACCGCATGACTGCAGGATATATTTTGGACTGTGGTTGGGGGAAAATATGTAACTGCACTTTATGGGCAGCAGTTCATCTTAGGGGGAAAGCTTAACCCAGTGGTGAATGTAAATGAATTGAAAATGTGGCCCCCCCCAGGACATAATTTCCCCAGCCCTGTGTCAAGTAGTTCCTGAGTTGGTGGAGGGATATGTGCAGGAAGAACGATCAGAAGTGGAGACAAGGAGCATTCCCTCCCAGGACTGTGTGGGGGGAAGAGGCGGCGGCTCTGGGACTGTGTGTGTGTGTGTGTGTGTGTGGGGGAGTGCATCTCGGTAGAATTGGGAGGCGGATGGATGGATGCATTCGGGAGTCGGGCGGGACTGCCGGCGGGGGCCTTCGGTGCTTCCCAGGGAGCGCCCTGCAGGCCGCGCTCCATTCTGCTGCGGAGATAGTGTCAACACACAGTGATTGAATGGTGATGAGGAAGGTGCCGGGGCGGGCGGGCGTGCGGGCGGGAGGAGCAGCTCAGGCCGAGAGCGAGACGAACCCCCCCCCCGTCCCCGTCCCCACCGCATGAAAATTTGGGGGCTTTGTTGTGGTTGGGCGCTCCGCTGCATAAGCAAACACCCCTCGTGTTGACTCTTCCGCCCCTTGTGGTCAGACATATTTGCCTGCCTGGCTGATAGAAATGCAACTGTGACCCGCTTTGCATGCATAGATTAGCACTACTCATGTTTTTTAGC